CCTTAACAGCAACCCAGTAAGTTGTGTCAGGACACCCCCTGGTAGCTTTCCAAGTTCCAGAGCTTGCCAAGCCTTAAAGGTGGAGAGTACCCCATGGTGGGCACGAGACAAAACACCGGCTCCATGCGAACAGCCCAAGGAGCTCTTCCACGTCCTGGGCCTCCAAGCCAGTGCCCGGCCCCTGCCAAACCTCATCATTGGTTTGCCCTAAGGACTTCTGCTTTTGCATGGACATGATCGGTGGCGCAGGGACAGTGCGTCTGGGCAGCAATGCCAAAACGAATCAGTTCAGGTCGCGAAGCTGCAGCAATCAAAGACCTCGGGCGACATCATGCAAAGCCCTGATTCTGACGCGGATCTTCTGGGGCAGTGATGGTGATGGTACCGAGCGGCTGCATAGTCGCTGGCAGCTCCGGATCCGCATAAGCGGCTATGGAAACGAAGATCTGCCCATCCTTGGCGCATCTTGGCGCAGCACATGGAAGTCAATGCGGACAGCAAGCAACTGGTAGGTTCTTTACGTGCTCGTTGACCCCACAGACCAACGAACCAAGCTTCTTTGGCCACCTCGGCCACGGAGTTACCAGCCGCCCGGGTTGTAAGGCCTTGGTGTACATGCAACCATCAACGCTCATTTGACCATACTGAGATTATGCAAGATTTTCTTCATCCCGGCCACCCGTTGCGCTCGGCCGGGCATCAGTAAGATTCACCTGGATCAGACAGCGCTGCCATCTCTGTGAGCTACAGCAAACTGACCGGTGCTTAAGCAAAAAGATTCATCGCAAAGGTGCATCCAAAACAGTGTGCACTAATGTTCACTCCCCACCTGAAGTCAAGGCAGATGGGAATGCAAGATCAGAAGGCCCACCTTCCAAGCGCCCACAAAGTTGTTGTCGCAGTGCCTTCTTGAACCCATCAGCTGGGAAGAGGCTCATTTACAGAGCACTTGCCACTTCAGTTGATGCGTGAATTTGCCCCTTTCATGGGTCTTAAATCTTCCACGGCACTGGGCGACAGATGGCAGTGAGTGTTGCATGGGCTTTACGCGTGGACCTGAATTGCCTGCCAGACTAGACATGAGCCTATAAAAGCTGGATTTCGCGACCATAAGTTTGATGCATACACAGATGGGCATGGGAATTCCTTGCACACTGCCGAGAAGCAGCAATGCGAAAAGGGCCGCAAGCAAGGCGGCGAAAAGTGCGCTCCGGGACCTGATGCTGTTTGAGGATGATAGAAAGGAGCCGGGATTGCAATCTTGCTTGAAAGAGTTTCATAGCGGAGGAGCGGGTCAATTCAAGAGTTGGCAAACTTAACTCAAGATATGGGGGGGTCCAAAATTAGGGGTACGAAGACTAAATCCAAAGTTAACTCACTCTGGGGTAATATTAGGGTTTTATTGGGGTTATATTGGGATAACGGAAAAATGGAAACTACTATTTAGGGTTTAGGGTTTAGGGCCCACGGAAAATGAACCTTAAACCCTAATCCCTAAGTGTTTGACAAACCAGAGTTAATCTTCCGTTTTTTATGGCATCATACATGAAGCACACATAGCTACGATTGCATGCATTCATTTCAGTGATTAATTGATGCAAAGCTAAAAGCAATCCCCTGCCTTTAGCCGCTAGCCCCTATTGTCAACCGCCTCCCCCACCCCCCTCCACCCCCATCATACTCCTGTCTATGGTATTATAATGGCCTCTTCTAGTACCATAAGAGCCCATCTAAACTCCTAGTACACCTCCTTAAGAAGCCCCATGATACTCCCCTACATAATCCCCTGTATACCCCCTTTTAAGGAGTTTAGACTACAGCTCATCATAATGGTCTTCACAAACCAGGGGGGAAGTGCTTGAGCCTCCTCTGAGCCAGGGCTGAAGACCCGGGCCGGGGACTCTGGCTGCAGCTGCTGGCCATGGCGCGAAAAGTGCTGTGAGCAGCAGAAAAACTTGGTGGATTTTCCCACAATAAGGGGTACCTTTAAAGGGAGTTCTAGGGGTTCTATGAGGTTTTGTGGGGTTTAGGGTTGCTGTAGAGACCCAAAAGCGGGAAGATGCAGATATAAGCAGATGGGTTATGCTGGCTTCTTTGTGAGGTTTTGGAGAAGGGGGGTATGGGGATCTTGGAGAGAAAATGCAAGGATTCTAGCGGGGTGCTGGAGATTCAAGTTCAAAGACGTAAGGTTAAGGGTGGTAGCGATTATAGAAGAGAAATTGCTGAGAGCTGAGGAGTCAAGAGGCGTGCAGGTCGGGTAGAACAAACTAATCACAAACACGCTCGATCTGGACTAAGCTCTGTTGGGGTTGGGGCTTTGGTATGCTCGGCTCAAAACTGCGTCGGTATCAGTTCAGAAGGAAGGAAGATTGCACGCCCAGTTTGCAAGTGTATCGTGCCCATGGTGCCCTCGCCTTTTTCACTCCGGTGCCGTAAACCACATGGTTAAGGCGTAACGGTCATGCTGGGACGCCAGGACTTGGTGCGCCAGATCTCGGCAGCGGAAAATTACCAGGGAACCGCCATGCGGTAGGACCTTAGAGCTCGCGGCACCATGCAGGTCGGAAAGAGGCTGATGATGGTATGACATCTCCGCCAGGGCTGCAGCATCCACGAATCCAGACTCGCCCCCGCCCATGTCTTTGGAGCGGTAGGCCCGGAAAGCCCCAGCATAGGACTCCTAACTTGGGGATGGGGAAGCACATGTATGGATTGAGGAGTTGTCTGCCGAATCTCCTGCCACTCCCTCTCATTCAGGTATAGAATGGCAGTGAATCGCCTGCAGTCCGGCAGAGGCCACGCTGATCATAGTCACAACAAGCCACCTGGCAACTCACTGGCAGACCCAGTCCTTGAGGCGATCATCTGCTTCTGGTCCATGGGCATGTCCACATCGAGCTCTGCCATGGACGAACCATCTGTGTGCGCGGCGTAACCGGCCGAGCCTTCCGCAAAGCATGCGAGCTGCGCATGGGGAGTGGGGCCAACCCGCCGGCCGTCGATCGGACAGATCTCAGCAAGGCGGGAGCAAAGAGCCACCAGCAGGTCAATGCCAGTCGCCATGCCCCGGAAGCCGTGAAGCTCACAGTTACCCCGGTCGATCAATCGGTAAGAATCTTCTCGACCCACTTGCCACTTGTTCCTTGTCTTGTCATGCGATGCCCTAACCGCACAGCTTTTGGGACGGCTTTCACAGCCTGTCTCTCAAAATGTGTCGAGGATCCAGTAAGTCGAAGGCTGCAATATCCGTCGCAACGACTTGGCCTTCAAGCGTGAGTGATGTCCTATGCTCTCAGAAAGCTGTCACCTGAAACAGCGGCCATTTCCTGCCAGCACTTTACCACGAACCTATATTCCTCGTTCCATTACATGTTCCGTGTTCTTGTCCATTCGATTTTCCACTCATCGCTGTTAGGGTGATGTTTCCCTGAAAACCCTTTGTATCCCCATATGAACCATGTAGTAGCTTAGATACATAAGTATTTCTTCATTCAGCACAGGTCTGAACCAAAGCCTCCAAATGGAGCTGGTCGCTGAGCCTGGGCCCCAAAAAGTTTTCCAGGCAGACGAGGCCGCCGAAGTCGCCTGGTAGGGTTTTGGGTTGAGGGAGGGGCGCAGGGTCCCATGAGAAAAAGAAAGCTTTTGGACCCTTTTTAAATGAAAGGGCTTTAAAAGGAGGAGTTTGGGTTTTTGTGGATTCTTTTGAAAGGTCCTTCTGGTTTAGGTTTAAGGGTTGAGAGCTTAGGGATGAGGCTTAAGGGTTGAGGGACCTAAAATAGGACCCACAATTTTGTGGGGGCCCCTTGCTGGGTTTGGAGTTTGGGGGCTTTGAAGGGCTTAGGGTTTTCTGACGGTGTAGGGTGAAGGCCTGAGTCTGCAACCTTCTACCCTAAACCCCAAACCCTAAGCCCTAAACCTTAAACCCTAAACCCTACACCCCAAACCCTAAACTCTGGGCCCTATTTGTAATTTACGCAAGAGTAATGTATTTGAGAGGAGCTGGGCTGGTGAGGGGGACTCCAAGGAGATCCCACCCAAGCGTAACCCCGAACCTTAGACCCTTAAACCTACACCCTACGCCCCACCCAAGGGTAACCTGTAGACAGCTGCTCGATGACCTTTGCATCCAGGGCAGCTGCCGCGCGCTGGGCAAGTTCCTCCATGATTTAAGTGTCAAGCTTGTTGAGATGTGGGGTCATGGGTCTGCAGTGGAGGGATAGCTAATGCTTGCTATGCAAAACTTCGGACATTGTGAGCGATTAATTGCGGGAAATTCCTGAAAGTTGCTCATGCGGAGCCCTGTCCAACCCTTCATGTTGAGTAAATGATCCCTGGCAACACTAGCATTGCAAGTAGCTAGTGTGTGCCTCTGAAAATTCCGGCCCTCGCATCATTAGCTTACACAACTGTCTAAGTTTCCTGTATTGCTTACACTGAGCTTCTCAAAATGCGGCTCCTTCTCATGTAATGATACGTGGAGAATACAGTACAAGGGCTTGCGAATTCGGATAGATCTACAGGAATGACTACAACGGCCGTATACAAAAGATCATCTCATTTGAGGTGAAGATACCTCCCGGATGGCAGCTGACCAACGCATAGCACCCTGAAATAGCCACTACATGAAAAATCAGCTTCATCCAAGAAAACATGAAGCCTACAAGGATCTGGAAGGCTTCCGTCATAAGACAACATGATCAAACTTCGTACTCCCAAACCCTTTGGCCCAGAATTGCGCACCAAAACACACGCCAGAAGAAATACCTTATAAAGATGGCAGAGGGGTATATGCGCAGATGAAGGCTTTGGGAATCTGCCGAACCGTTTTGGCTCTAAGTGCTGTGGATGCGCTTGTGGCTCTATTGATCCTACATGTAACCTTCGAGCTGCGAACTCATTTTACAACTGTTCATGAATCTCCAGGTTTCTCCCAAAGGATGCTCCAATAGGGTTCCGAGAAACTTGCTTAGACCTACACAAAAAACTTCGTCAATGCTGACTAGGAGGGATAGGCGTGATTATAAGAGGGTCCGCCTTTCTTCCTACCGTACCAAGCTTACAGGGTGGGGGTCCACCTAATCAAGAAACTTCAAGTAAGCTACGGTGGTTTCCTTAAATAGGGGGACCCCAATATAGGCCAACATACTATAGTCCTTAGTATGGGGACCCCCAGAAGGTACTCCCATTTTCAGGAAACCCTAAACCCAAAATCGTATATACCCCTACATAACCCATATAACCCCCTTTAAAGGGTACGCCGCAAGTGCCAGATACTCCCTAAACCCTAAACCCTAAACCCTAAACCACCCTAAACCCTAAACCCTAAACCCACCAAACCTCTTCCAGGTTGCCCATGCTGAAGGTGATGGCATCATCAAATCCATCCGGCACGCGCCTCTATGGGATTTGGGGTATATTATTGGGGTTATATAGGGAATAATGGAAAAGAAAATGGAAACTACTATAGTATAATAGGGTATATATTGGGTTTGAGCGTTTAGGCTTTAGGGCTTGCGGAGTCATCCAACAGAAATGATGGCCTACTCATAGGGCTTAGGGTTTAGGGTTCAGGTTTTAGGGGTTCAGGGTTTTGGGTGTTGGGTTGGAGCGCCTTTCTAGTCAAAATTACCTGCAAGTGAACTTCGCTGACCGCAAGATGTCCCTTGCAAACCTGTTTATGGGAAAATATGAAACGAGGAAATGCGGGTGGCTGTCACAAAGTCTGATCCCTTTTTGCCCGCCCTTGTAAAAATTCAGGGTACCCCAAAACGAACCAACATGTTCACAACCCTCTAGCTGAAGCACTTTATGAGGAAAGTCCTAATATGAAATATTCGCATTGTGGGATACTATGACGTTGACATATTGTCCTATTGGGAACACTTATACTATTCAACCATAAACCCCAAATCCTAAACTTTAGCGTACTGTGAGCCTGATGAAGAGTTTCTTGCGGTGCGCATCGTCCACAGCGGCAAAAGCGCGGGACAGACCCCCACCTGGGTTTCCATAAGGCTTTGCAGGGAGTTTACCTACATAGAGAGAGAGAGAGAGAGAGAGAGAGAGATTGTTTCTACGGTCGCCATATGTTCCCTATGCTGGAACTGTACAGAGAGATAAAGGGCAGTTGGCACATGGGCGCCGCTAGCAATCTCGCAGGGAACGTGACCTACTACATGGGGAGAGCCAACGTGGGGGTGGAGGGCCTGTTTTAAAGTGTGTTAGTAGAGGGACACTCCATCTTTGTTCGGTATACATCATTTAGAGTCTAGGGTTCAGGGACATTGCCCGAATTGGATTGCTGACTGAAATTATAACTAACTACCCCGAATTTCCAAACAAAGGCTTAGGCAGAACATCTTATCGGTTGTCTCTCTCCAAACCGTCCTGTGCTTGCAAGCCAAATGAAACCCCATGGCAGATTCTCACCACTTCGCAACTTCACCTGTAGCACCGCTATGTTCAAGGGTACCAATGTGGCTTGACAAGGGCAGTCTCACAGGTTGTATATGCTATGAACTTCCAAGAATCAAAATGTATGGGTTACTGCGTACAGAATACACAATGATATAGATATCCAACAAGCAGAAAAGGTAGCTGGCCGCAGAAGGCATCACCAGGAACGGAGGACGGGGACTCTATGCCCAAGGGGGCCAAACGAGGGCAAAGGGCCCTTGAAATGCAGGTTTCCAAAACGAGCGCGTGACCCAAATCGCAGTAATGATTACCTATCACAATTAGTTTCAAAAACGATGGGGTGCCCCTAAACTTCGGAAGCCCCCATATAATTCCAGTGCCAGGCAGGATTGGTGGTTGCAGTATGGCTATCCAAGCACCTTCAATCTATCCCCCTTGTGGCCCCAACTCTCACCCCAAACCCCAAAACCTGAAACCCCAAAACCCTAGACTCCTTACACTCTAAAAACCCTAGAGGGGCTCCGGGCCCTAGAACCCTGAACCACAAACCCTAAGCCCTGAACCCTAAACCCTAAACCCAAAACCCTAAACCCTAAACCTTAAATAGTAGCTTCCATTTTCTTATCCATTATCCCAATGTGATCCCTAGATTCTATCTACTTAAGTGAGAGCCTAAACCCTACCCATTATAGTAGCTTCCATTTTCTTTTCCATTATCCCTATATACCCGCATAATCCCTGTATAACCCCCATAATGCAGGCAAGAGCACATAAGAGCACATGCTGCGCCAACGCCGCAAGGCCTCGGCTTCTGTGCTCCAGGGGTTTAAGGGTCTAAGGGGTTGAAGGGTTTTAGGGTTTAGGGTTTTAGGGGTTTAGGGTTTTAGGGTTTTAGGGTTTTAGGGTTTTAGGGTTTAGGGTTTAAGGTCCACCAGCCCCGAATTAGCTTTCAGGTTTAGGGTTTAGGATAAGAGGTCGGGTTCTGTAAGAGCCGTGTAGGGGCTGTAAGGGGGGCATGCAAATCATATGGGAATGTTACCCCGAAAATGGAAAATCGAATGGACACAACTTGGAAAATGAAATGGAAGCTACTGTTTAATTAAGGTCTAGGGTTCATTGAGATTATCCCAATAATGGGGAATCAAATGGAAAATTAAATGGAAACTGGGTCCTAAATCCTAAACCGATCTTGAGGATCTTCCCTCCAAAAGAAGCGTAGGATTTTCGTCTGACTAGACTATCCCCTTCAAAGATACTATTCAATTCCAGACCTCAGATATTTGATAAGGCGTCCTGATTAAGGCATTGCGCAAGATCTCGGAAAGCGTGGGGAATCCAGTCCTCATACACTTCGTTTAGGGTTTAGGGTATATCCTCCCCCGCGCCCCTATGTTGGCCTGCAATGAACTCAAATACCTCGAAATAGGGGACCCTCGCATAGCTCAAAGCCTTCAGCAAAACCTCTAAGCTTCGAGGCATCTCAAGTCTGAATCCAGCCTGGTACACTCATTTCAGGCCGACATGTAGAGAAGTTCAATGATCCCAAAACCAGCCGTAGCCTCAATAAAACGGACTCACAGTAAGAGTAATAGATTCGTCAATACTTAGAAAACTATAGTAACCATAATAATAACAATAAAAAATAATAACAACAATAAGTCATGTAAGAATTAGAAGAAGAATAAGAACAACACTAATGGTAACAATGGATTGCCGGGGCCTCGGCCCGCTAAAGTGACCAGCCTTGACACCTCGCGCCAGCCCCGCCGCATGGCTATCAGCTAAATCTTTCCTACCATGGTGTGTATGGAGTTCAGGGTTTGTGGGTTTTAGAACTTTGGGGTTTGTGGGGTTCACGGTTTGTGGAGTTTCGAGCTTTAGGCTTTAGGGTCTAGGGGCATACGGGCAGGGACTAGCATTGGAAATACCATGAGGACGGCTACAGGCATCCACTGCTGGGTCTAGGGTTTAGGGTAAGCATACGGTTGCATCATGGGGTCATAGTGCTCACCAGGTCACCATGGCCATGACTACTGATGTTCATATGAAGCAGTGCTGTTTGGATAATTTGAAGTACCACTGCCGACAGCAGAAGTTGAATGGATCTGCAAGTGGCAGCTTGGGGCCCTGCATGGACCAAAGCTTGTTATGAGGGGTCGGTCTACTATTGGTAACTCATGCTAAGCCTCACTATATATATACATATATATATATTATGATGAAGAACCCAATCATGAGCTGCTGCGCATTGAGCCATAGCTCACATGCATCAACTAAATGAAAGATTGGATTTGACTGCCAAAGACGGGCACCGGTTTTTGAAGAAATGCAAGAACCAAGCTGCAGAAGTAGAGGAGCCTTGCAGCTCGTACCCGTGTACCCCCTACTCCATTGTCGGGTGTACAGAGCACAAACCGCTTGGCATGTGGCAACGCAGAAGCGACGACGCCTGAAACAGCATTTGCGCGATGCAGATCGGCAGATCGATGGGTTGGAAACATGGAACCTTGCCATGCGCTTCTGTGGCACACTGCTGGCCTAGCTGCTAACGGAGTGAGGCTGTTCACTGCAGCTAAAACGGTATTGAAGAGACAGCTGTCGAGTTGCGCAAAGTCTTGTGCTGACCGCAGCCTCTCCCTCAGTAGCGATGCTCGGCGCGGGCAGTGATCAGCCCAGAGATGACACTCAAGTGCCATGCCAGGCTTTAATAAATTTTATCTTAAGAAAGTTTTGTGAATTCGACGGGTCTTCCGTCCATATGCACCACTGGCGAAGATCTAAAAAGCTTCTTTGCCATCTTCGCCTAGTTCAGATTGAATCTGCCCTTGGATACCCATCGGCGGGACAGCAGGAAAGCTAATAACATGATTACTTCACTCCCAGCATACGCGCAACAAAGGTACCCTTGCTTCAGAATAACTTTCACATTTTATCTTTGGGACGGAACTTGCGGAATGCTGGGTTTGGCATTGCAGGGCCCATCTGGGGAATGTGGTCATGCAACAGAAAGCTAGATGAAAACTACCAGGGCCCCAAACCTAGCACCCATCATGTTGACAAAATCCAGCATGAACACAGCAACAAGAAAAACAATGATACACGCAGCAATGGTGCTGTCGATATTAAGGGTCCTAGCGGCCTTACGGTACTAAAACCCCACGATTTCCAGAGATGAGGAGGGATTCCAAGCGCCAGAAGGATGGCTAGCATCAACACGTGCAATCAGAACAGCAAGAACGGAGACAACTTGAGTTTGGAGAAGTGCAACGCATCTCGGGCTGCCCGGATCAGACAACACATTGGTTAGATAGGGGACATATGTTGTTTCGGCTTCAAGGTTTAGTGACGTTCCTTCTTGGGATAACACTGGACAATCAACTTTGTAGTTGGGCTTTAGTGTATAACTCATGCCATGTTCAACAAGGAACTACTGAGCATGCTAGACTACAGTACCATAATTTCTCCAGGTACATAGTACTTAGGATCATGCAGGATTTCTTATATCAATAGTATGCATAGTGTTAAAAGGCGAAGATGAACCTGTCTGCAGATCGGAAGAGCAAGAATGACATAAGTAGTTTACTAGTAGATAAAGTTTGCATCGGGTAATATAGTAGTTTCCATGCTCCCTTCCATGAGATGTTCTTTTCCACTATCCTTACATACACCTATAATACAAACCCAATACATACCCTATAATAATATAATAATATGGTAGTTTCCCAAAATAAGGGGACCCTAATATAGACCCCAATATAGTATAATCCTTATCATAGGGACCCCCAAAAAAGGGTACCCCTCATTTTGGGAAACCCCCATATAGTTGGGGGCTCTAAACCCTAAACCCTAAACCCTAAACCCCAAACTCTAAGCCCTAAATGCCTAACCCCCCTAAACCCTCCCATGCCGTCGAGCAGCGAAGCTCCTGAAGGTTTGGCAGCCGCAGAGGCAACTCCGCAATGCCCCGGGCAAGCGCAGCCAGGCCCTCACAAACCCAGCATTAAGGGTTCTAGGGGTTAGGGGTTTAAGGGTTTAAGGGTTTAGGGGTTTAGGGTTTAGGGCTTAGGGTTGTAGATTAGGGTTTCTCTAAGGGATTTGGAACCCCAGTAGAAATTATAATTTCAGCTAAATATTAGGATTCTAGGTAACAGAAATTAAAAAATATTTTCAGGGATCTCGTTTTTAGAGACCCTAAAGCCTAAACCCTAAACCGCGTCTTTGGTGCTTTGGGGCTTAGGGTTTGGGCTGCTGGCCTGCTCTGGTATGGAGCGGCTTGAAGATTCTTGCGAAAACTTAGGGGTTATATAGGGATTATATAGGGGCTATACTCGGAGAATGGACAAGGAAATGGAAACTACTATTTAGGGTTTAGGGTTTAAGGTTTAGGGTTTGGCAGTCTCTCCAGGCCTGGGCTTAGGAGTTAAGGCTACTTCCTGACAGGTCTATGATCTCCTGATTCTTGATTCTTACCCCGCTCCAGCAGCATTCCATAAACTTGTAAACCATAAACCTAGTGGTAGTTCGTAGGAATAAAAGGAACATACTATATAGAAATTATATAATATAGGGAGTATACTCTCCTACTCCCTACTCACAACCGTGAAACCCTAAACCCTCAACCCTAAACCCTCACGGAGTCCCAGCGAGTTGTCCCAAAAAATCTTTGTAATCTAAATGCCGCGTGCCTTCCCAAAGGAAAATAACCCCTGTAGGGTTTAGGGTTTAGGGTTTAGGGTTTAGGGGAAGATGTATAGTGTATCCCGTTGTTCCCTACTCAACGCCAGTAAGCTTATGATTCACGAGTTTGTTCATCAAGGCTGTCCGAAAGAAAGTCACGACCAGAAGCCGCGAGAAAGTTTAGGGTTTAGGGATTTTAGGGCCATGTTGTTCTAGGCTTACAAGACTGATTGGACAAGTTCCTGAACACACATCTACTATAACATAATAGCGTCGACTTCCATTTCGATGTTCCATTATCCTTGTTAACCGCAAATTTAATCCTAAGTTATACCCCATTATCATATAATAGTATCCATTACCAAATTCGACCGCGATAAGATGTTTGCACATTCTGGGTCCGGGGCGCGAGCTTTAGAAAACCTTACGCATGGAGCAACGTTCCACCATTTGCTTACAAAAAGGTTCTCCGCCCCTTTCTGTTCCCACCCTAGGTTGGCTGGGATCCTACGGAAAGCCTACACACCCTGCAATAACATCTTGATCGCAGAAAACACGACACAAGTAATAACTCACTCCATCACAAAACTGCCACAAACACACATTCACACCAGTTTCTATGCCATATGGGGTTTCCCACGTTACCATTTTGGGGTCCTAATAACAAAAGGAGCATAATATTTTGGGGTCTATGCTGGGGCCCCTTGTTTTCGGAAACTACCCTATGATGCTTAAGCTATGTGTGGAGGTTGGTACCTCAGGGACGTGACTTGGACAGCACGGGCGATCTTCCAGGCCTGATGAACTTCTGGGTCGCGCATGTCAGCCTTGAGGCAACTGAGTAGTGTTTTTTGGGTGGTTGAACCTAGTAAGATAATATTCCTTATATAAAATACTATACCCCAAAAGGAGGATATAATCTTACTCTATATTATATTGGGCACCATAGTACCCCGAAATAAAATACTGCTCAACTGAGAAATCCCACCGAAAAAGGCCAAAAGCTCTGCTCTGTGGCATGTGAGCCAAAACAACTTCAGTCTAAGCAGCTTAAAATGTACCCTTCACCACAGTACTTTGGAAGGGCACCGTATTAGCTTCCATGCTAATTCGGGGGAGGGTACCCCATTCTCAGCAAGAAACTTACTGGTTCTTAGTAGGGAGTAATGGAATGTAATCCCTATATAATACCTATATAATACCTATATAATCCCCATATAATACCTATATAATACTTATAGTCCCCATATAATCCGCATATAATACCTAGATAATCCCCATGTAATCCCCAAAAAATCCCCAAAGAATACCTATATAATCCCTATATAATCCCTATATAAACTACTAAGAACCAGTAAGTCAAAAGTCCAAAACTACTCTGCTCCCCGCCTCGCAGAAGAGCAGGCGCAGTTGGAGGGCAACAGTCCGCGTCTCCTGCAGCTCCATTCAGCTCATCCAGAAGCTGTTTAGGGTTTAGGGTTTAGTTGTTTAGGGTTTAGGGTTTAGGGGTTTAGGGTTTAGGGTTTAGGGTTTAGGGTTTAGGGGTTTAGGGTTTAGGGTTTAGGGTTTAGGGGCATTTCTCCAAATAACCCTACATGGTCACTTGTAAGGATCTTTCTGTTCTATCTCTCTACATGTATACATATACCCACCTTATACTTCCCTCCTCCCTCATGCTCTTTCTTGCTCCTTAGTTCTCCACGCCCTCTTTGGCTACAAAGCAGCTATGGATTCACTTCTCTCAACAAGCACCACAACTGACTTGGATGAATTGGCGTTGCGATTAGAAAGAATCCAGGACAGACAATTACCAAAGACAGGCCCTAAACCCCAAACCCCGTAAACCGCCGGAGGCCAGTATCTGCGATGGCAGAAGCCCACTCACTTCGACATGTTCACGATGCATTAAATCCAGGGTAACAGCTGTGAAGTCTGGCTGCTACAGTTTATTCAATCATGAACCATCCTCTGGCGAAAATCCCAAAGCCTGCACACGCATCCTCTCCACAGCAAACCCCTTGAAACCAAACCGCCAGAGCCAGCTCCAGCCCAACCCATGTTCCCCTCCCCAAGGTCTCCCAGGTTGCGGCAGGATATTCAAGGCCATGCTCGAAAGCTGCCGGGTTCCCCACCTAAGATGGCTGGCAGCACTTGTGGAGAAATCACGACTGATTGTACAGAAAAGCTCCCATCTCTAGAAGATCCCCACGGTGAGCCACATACACATCCCCTGGTCGTTGCAACTCCTCCTGCATCTTGGGCTCTAGCTCGAAAGGCTGTCTTAGCTTCATCTTCAGAGTCCTGCAACCGTGGATGGAAACGGCCATGTGCAGCGCCGAGTTGGGAGCATCAACGTGCCAGGCGACCTCTTCCGAGCCCACTGCATCACCCCAATGGATCTGCACAGCAAGATCCGCAAAGGCGTAGCCGTGCTGCAGCAGGCGTCGCAGCAGAGAGCCATGCGGGCAATCAGCAGCCATCCTCTCAAGGGACTCAGCGTTGGCCCGCCGCACTCCTTCTGCAAATGCACGCAGTCGCAGAGATGCCGCAGGCTTCAGCATATCTCCACCGCACCGTGGATTCAGTGAGCGGACTGGCTTGTCAGACGGGAGGGTGTGGAAGTATCCTTCCAAGTACTGATGACCGGGGCACGACGGATGGTCGACGCAGGACACGAAGCCGAGATCGTGAAGGTGCTGCACGTCTGCGGAATGGCCGCCACAGAGAACATCCTCAAACAGATCCTCCAGCACCTGGGGTTGGACTAACAACCTATATGTCCCAAATTGAAAAAATATGTAGTTTCCATTTTATTTTCCATTATACCAATATAACCCCAATATACTATAGTAGTTTCCATTTTCTTTTCCATTATCCCTATAGAACCGGCACCTCCCGGGACAGCTCCAAACTCTGAAGGCCCACAGGCCCCAGGGCTTGGAAGCTACGACCGGGTGGCGGGGGCGCCTCCACAGAGAACTGCTTGAGCAGCGCAGGCACCTGGGGCTTCAGTCCTTTACGGGTTTATTTAGGGGTATATAGGGGTTATATAGAATCTATCCAGGGATTATAGGATTGCGGTTATCTAGGGGCTTGAAGGGGTGATGGCGAATCCTTCGCGAATATGTGAGGACTATAAGGTGATAGACTAATCACCCTCTTGAATCATTGCAAGATATGGTAGTTCCCATAAGTTGTGGGACCCCAATAGAGACCCCCAAGTACTACACAGCAATCCTTTTTATAGAGGTTTCCAAAAGGGAACCCCTAATTCATGGAGATTGGTTTGACGAACTCCCACCTCCCAGACGCTCGCCAGGGCCCGGCGCGGAACCTGCCAGTTAGGGTTTAGGGTTTAGGGTGTAGGTGTAACTCTAAGGAATTTGGAACCCCAGTAGAAA